ACAACACCATGGACCTCACTGTTGGATTCATCTCGTAAAATCTAACTACTCAGTCAATTTTCATCAAATTCTGAGATGGTTGAATTTTTTGCTTCTTACGAGGCAATAGGGTGTCACGCGACTAAAATAAACTCGATCAAATTTTATTTACAGAACCGGGATATAATTTTAAGTTAGTTCAAATAAAATATATTGAACTTAACACAAAATAATATTTAATTGATTCAGGATAAAATCAAATTAGAAAAAGATGGGACATGTGGCAAATTGTGAGCCATGTATTGGAGAGTATAATACGGAAAAAAATCAGATTTTTCCCCCATTGTGTTGCTGGGTTTTCTAGGGGAGAGAGAGAGATAGAGAGAAAGAAACTAAGGTAGTCCCACCTTCTCCTTCCGATCTACAGCAATCCGACTGTTGGATCTCCTTGGGCTAAGAACAAATATTGTTTTACGCGACGAGAGCTACACGTTTGCACCAAAGATTGCGGGTTTCGCCAAAATCTCAAAGATGGGATTTTGAAAATCAAGGCTTGGAAGCTAGATTCGAGTCTTTTGAATTCTTTGACATAGATAGACGTTTCAAGAGGTAGGATTCTTTTTCTATTTAAGTTTATTTCCAACCTAATAGAGTGACAAGATAATGTGACATCTTTGTTTGAAGGGCTTGGCTACTAATGTTACACTCATAGACACTTTATAATTTTTAAAAAGAGTGACACCATATTGTTACAATATTGTTCAAATGACTTTGCCATTGAAATTACAAACACAGACACTTTTTTATTTTGTAAGAGAGTTACAAGATAATATAACAACTTTGGTTGAAGGATTTGGCCATAAATATTACACAAACACTCTTGTTTTTTATTTAATGTAGTGTAAACATAATGTGTCTTGATAACATTTTTTAAATAAATGGCAACATCCTGTGACACCACATTGGTTTAATGGATTTATGACTCTCTACAACTACAACACACACTTAAATGATTTACAATAAAGTGAAAAGATATATTGAACCATTTATTAACTACACACATAAATGAACAAACATGATTACATATCTATAATATAAAACAGAGCGGTTTCAACAAGCTCATCTTACGGTCTTAAATTCATTCATCCAACGGTCAAGAAATTACTTTTTTTTCACCTCCCCAACCGGTCAACAATTACGACTAATTTTGGACACATCCTACGATCTCAAATTCATTCATCCAACGGTCAAGAAATTACCATTTTTTTCTTAATATTTCCCCTCAATCGGTCAACGATTACGGCTGATCTTGGAACACAAGATTTTCTTTAACATAATAATTAAAATGAGTCAAATTTTTCATTAATATCATTTGTGTAGTGTAACATTTTGAATTTTTATAAGACACATTAATAACATTTTGATTAAAAAAAACTCATCAATTTAACAAATAAAAAAAACAAGGACATTACTTAACACATTTATATTGAATATAATTAATTTTAATTTTATTTATTTAATTAATTATCTCAAGCCAACATGTCTTACACGTATCTTGAATCAAAAGTTCAAGATTAATTTTTTTTATCTATTAAGAAAATCCAACGCTAATATATTCTTATCTATAATATAAAATAAGACGATTTCAACAAACAAATCTAACAGTCTCAAATCAATTCATCCAACGGCCACCAACATTTCTCTCAAAAAAAGTCAAATTAAATTTAATTTTTTTTAAATGGTTCAGATTTCATCTAATTTCATCTAACGGTTAAAAATTCATCACAGACAAAAAAAAAATCCTGCCCAAAAAGCCTCTACACACTACCCAACACTTACACAGTTACACGTTACCCAAACCCGTCTGACTCTGGCTCACACACAATCACAGACGCTCCCTTCTCTCTCTTTCTTTTCCAGAAGACCCATCTCAGCGCCCTTCTCTTAGTCATTCTCCTTCTCGCTACTCTGTCGTGGCTCAACCCATCGCCGATCAACCTACAGCCGACGAAGTCCAAGTACCTCTCTCTCTCCCCCTCTCTCTCCAGTTGAACACACACAAGCAGTAAAGAAAAGAAGTCGAGAATTGATCGATTCTATGCCCGATGTCTTGAGAAAAGAACCCGAGAATTGTGATTGCCTCTAGGGTTTGTTCTTGAACCTCTTTGTCGTTTTCTCTCTGTCTCTTACGCGCATACAATTTCAAACAACCTTTTTCTCTCCTTGACATTTTCACAAACAGTTTATATGCATTGGTGGCTTATGGTATCTTTGTGTGTGTTTTCAGGTTTTCAGGTGTGCCACTCTTTGGGGGGAGGAACTGGATCTGGAATGGAAACCCTTCTGATCTCAAAGATCAGAGAGAAAAAGATCACCCCTCTCTCTCTAACTCTCCATCTCTCTACCATCCCAGCAGCACAGCCCAACACACATAGTCGCAAAATCAGCACACACACACAGTAGCAAACACAGCGCAGCAGTATTTAATTTGGGTTTTTTAATATTTGTGTTTAATTTGTGTGTTTTAAATTTAGTTGTTTTTTTTTTATATTTGGGTGTTTTTAATTTAGATGTCGTTACAATGGGTGTTTAATTTGGGTGTTTTATAGTAATCCAAATTGCGGCCCAATATTGATTGGGTCTCCTCTAGGTGTTTAGTTTGTGTTTAATTTGGGTGTTTTATAGATGTCTTTCATGTTGCAGCCCAAAATTGCTGGGTAAAGAAAGGTGGTGCTTTTACTGGTGAGATTAGGTATGTTTTATATACATTCTATATCTTCTGTAATGTTGTAATACTTAAGTTTTGTTGTATGAGTTGTTGAAAGCACTGAGTTGATATTCATGTGAGGTTTACACATTGATGGAGTGGCTCAAGGAAATGGGATAAGAACCCGTTTTCATCTCATGCATTAATTCTTGAAATGAATGTGTTTTCCATGCAGCAAATTCTTGCCATGGTCATTATTTGTGGGTACAAAATGTTAATACTTCAAATTTAGACTTACAATTTACACAATATTAGTCACTTATTTCTCTCTATACCCCTCCCCCTTTACTTTCATGTTTTTAGTTATGATGCGTGAGTGATATATGCTCATGCAATATGCTTGCACACTCTTTTGATGTATATTCTTTATTTGCACTTATTTATTGTTGTTATGATAAAGTTATACCCTTAATCAACTATCAAAACAAACATGTGCTACGGAAATAGTAAATCAGTATATCTTCTATGAATGTTTCGGGGTTGTCGATACTCTGACCTAATTCCAAGCAAAATTGAGGTTGGGTTTTGGCTTTTCTGTTCAAGCCCAAGCCTAATCATTGAAGTTTTGGAGTGGCTTGCTTCAGCCTTTTATATTACGTGCGAATTAGTATGATATTCTTGGGAAGTATGGCACATCTGCAAAGATATGAAAATGTGAAATTTTGGGTGTGTTTGGGTAATGGGATTGGATAGGGTAGGATATCTTTTTTTATATCTTAACTCATCCAAGTCAAACTCACTCATCCACTTTAAAACCTATTCAAGTCATATATTCAATCCTAACATTTGTTTGGGAAATAAATGTGTAATTCGGTGGGGCCTATAAATTACATAAATAATTTCATAATAATTTATCATTCTACCCAAGACTCTATTCATTCAAATCCAAACCAATACAATTTTATATTTTTGTTTTGTTTTTTTTTTTAAGAAAAAATAAAATTTTATTTATTAACAAAGCAAAATTTACAAGAAGCAAAAGAAAGGCTCCTATGCCTTAACAAGAAAACCCAAAGCAACCTAAGGCATAGACGCCTATCAAAAAAACCAAATAACAAAAACTCAACAGCAAAACATTTTTTTTTTAAATAAAATTTTATTTATTCACAAATGCCAAACCATTATAAGAAGCAAAATGTAAGGCACAGACGCCTTCAATAACAAGAAAAAAACAAAAGTCCAAAGAAACCAGTCAAAAAAGACTTCAGCAGCATCTCCTCCAAAAAACTTTAACAGCAACAAAGTTTGCTAAAACCCATCAAGACAGCAGTAGCATTTCCCATTCCAGACTTGAGCCTCAAGTCTGTTTCAAACAAATCAACATTACTGTTAAGACAACAACCAACCATACCAACATAGTAGATAGATTGAGACAAAAAACCCTGATCTAACATTCACAAGCCCAGTTCAAAGCTGCTTACTCTCACAAAGACCCAAAACTGTACTCACAATAATTAAAGAGTCACATTCAATTGTTAGCTTATACACAAACAGTCCATACTTCTGAACTAACTGCAAGCCATTCAGCAAAGCTTTAAATTCAGCAGCCACATTCGAGCACTCACCATAAAAGAAACAAACAGCTAATACCAATCCGCCAAACTCATTCCTCAACACAACACCACCACCTGCTATGCCAGGATTATTCTTGGCAGCCCCATCAGTATTTAGCTTTAAGCAACCAGCAGGAGGTTCCATCCATTTTACCCAAATAATTTTGTTCACAACATGACTGGAAACTTGAATATGCAAAAATTCCAAAAAAGAAGAGACAATAACATCATCCTGCATCTTCCCCAACGCAGATTCTTCATAAAATCCTCATAATGCATCACAATTTCAAACAAATCAACATTTACTTCAGGCAAAAGGAGCAAACAACAACTCCAATAACAAAGTCGTAACAAGACAACCCATATTGCAGTTTCCAAAACTTGACTGGAAAAAAAAAAAAACCAATGCAGCAACTCTGCTAATGCTAGTCCACCACAAAAACTCAGGTTGCTGAGAAACACCTCACCCCTTGTCATCAAAAACCACCATAACCCTTATTTTAGACACAAAGCAGAAGCATCAAGTCTAACTAAATCCACCACAGAAACATATCAATACAAATTTAAACTCATCTAGAAAATATGGCAAAGCAATCCACATAAATTGAATAAAAAATTAGCAGCCCAAAATTACTGGAACCTAACCACCAAATCAACAAAAAATAAAATTAAATGAACTGACAATATCACCACATAGAGTAATTTTAGATTACACAATAATATAGATTACACAATTTTAGATTACACAATAATATAGGCCAACAGAGAAGCCTCTTCCCAACAAGCTGGACACCATAAGAAGAGCTCATACCGCTTTGCTGCATCTCCGAAATTCTTTGATTGGTTTACGGAGAAAGAGAAAGGTGTGGGTTCAGTGTTTTGAGGGCAAAAAAGACAATGAGAGAGAGACAGAGAGAGTCTTCGTCCATTTGTATAGCTTCGGCCAAAGACGAACGAAGCCAGATCTGGGTGTACCTCAGCAAACCAGATCTGTTAGCGAGAGAAGCTTCGTCCATTTGTATAGCTTCGGCCAAAGACGAACGAAGCCAGATCTGGGTGTACCTCAGCGAACCAGATCTGTTCGCATTCGCTACGGAAAGAGAGAGAGAGAAGCTTAGGGGGACAGAAAAAGAGAGACACAGAGAAGAAGAAGCTTACCTCGCATGAGTCGACGATCGCCTGTGATGAACGTCCTCACCAACCAATGCTTGGAGCTGAGCTCCTTGGACGAAAGTGAAGGGTCTCGCGGTAAGGTGTAGGAAAATATCTAAGGAGGGGTAAGCCCGTCTTTTAACTGGTTAATCCGGTGGGGTAGGATTGTAACCGATGAGGGGGGGTGGGTTACATTTAACCCATGTACCCTTGACCCGGATCTATATCCGCCCTCGTTTTTCAGCTGCCAAACACCGGATATATGGGATCCACTTCATTATTAAGCTATCCTTATGCGATTTAACCTACCACAACCCACTACCCAACACATCCTTTGACTTCTTGCTGGTTTGAGTGGATCAAATATGGGTTCCATTGTTGTGAATGGTGAACTGTCAGCATTGGGATTAAAACCAGTTGGTTTACTATTTCTATTGCATGTTAGCAGTAGTCATTTGGACATTACTCACTAGCTAATAAGAGCGCAATCCAAAGAAAAAGAGTTTGTTAGTTAAACGCAATGGACTAGCCACATAGAATATTTGTTTGACTACTGCTGTAGAATCTTACTGATTGAGGGGGCATCAACTGGTTTGTTTTAATTTGGGTTAACTTGGTGTCAGTTCTTCAACTTCTAGCTCAACCTTAGTATCTCTTTTGGTTCATGTGATTGCAGAATTTGTTCCTGAATTCATATGTAATCATGTCGTTGTCCTGTGCAGCTCAAAATTTTTCATTGCAAAAATTCAAATTAATGTCTTGCATGCGCAGTGCTGAGATGCTTCTCAATCTAAGCATTCCTTGGGTCATTATCGGCCATTCTGAAAGGAGGCTTCTGTTAGGTGAATCAAATGAGGTAATCTTTTGTCAATGACACAGTAACTGTCTGTTTTTAAGGATTCTAATGAGAACATTGATTACGTATCACAACTGCGGATCCTTTCCTCATTTTTTGATAACTGGCATATCAATTTCATTTCAGTTTGTTGGAGACAAAGTTGCATATGCCCTTGATCAAGGTTTGAAGGTAATAGCTTATGTTGGGCAGACCCTTGAGTAGCGAGAATCAGGATCGACTATGGCTGTTGTTGCTGCGCAGACTAAGGCAATTGCAGGTAAATTTTTCATTACTATGTGCAAAACAACTTTTGCAATCAATTACACTCTTATGATCAGTTTTAGAAGCTTCTGTATTCTAGAAGTGTCCTTGTGAATGTTCTTTTGTTTCACACCATCATTTAGTTACTTGTCTTTTTGATAAACTTGGTGGTAACTTGTCACTTGTGTTACCACTTACCAGATTTATTAGTTACATAACTTATTTTAGTAATTAAGAAGTGGCTATCTAAAATCTAAAGAGTGTAACTGTTCGGTAAAGGTTGCATTTTTGTTGATAACTTCAATATTAATGTTGGTTGATATGTTGTGGGGCTTGATTTTGAATTGTGTGGTAGCCTTTGATTTATAAACCAATCTAATATTGCTTCAAACCTGAAATTTTTGCTTTGTGTTTATAGGATTTTGATTTCTTTTGTCTTTTTTATAACCTATCTCACTCTTTCGAAAAATGACAAGGGATGAAAAGATCAACCTCATAAATGTGTCAGTTCAAAAAATTTCTTCTGAAGTGTTATCAATTTGTCATTTTGGCTATTGTTTTCCGGATATTGACAAAGGATGTGAAGCTTATGGTTTTGTTCTTTCTTCGTGTTCCTCTACTTAATTATGTTCTCATATTCCATTGTATTAAAGAAAGATAACAAGATGAAAATTTGGTGATGGAAGAATAAGAATATAAATAAATTAAAATGAAGAGGATATCGTCAGTTGGACGGCTTTGTGTTTCCCTTATAGTAATTTTTTTTATTCTTTTTCTTTTGACTTATACTGCCGGTTCTTTGGAATTAACTTTTGTTGGTTACTGGGATTGCTAAGATTTTGAGATTTTGATTGGGGCTGGCCGTTGGCCCTGAAAGTTAGAACTTGTTGAATTGGCACAGAAACTTCGTCACCTTACAACACAATTAATTTTCATTTTTTTTCTCCAATTATTTATCGACTACTTCTAGTATATGCATTTTAATATACTATTTTTGTGCAACATTCTTTAGTATGTTTCTTATCACTTCTTTTTAAGATGGTTGTGGCGCCAAACTACTTGGATTGCTGATTTATTGGTCTTTCCAAGCTACTTGGAACAAAAGCATTCACTTTGTTTTTGGTGTTTAAATACGAATTTTAGTTTAATTTGAGTTTGGATTATAGTACCTATGATATTGAATAGTGTTTTATAGTATTTGGATTTTAAGGCTTTGATTTGTTCCTGTGGTGTTTCGGTTTCTACTAATTGGCTATGATTATACTTTTCGATAACTAATTGATTTTCCTTTTTCTTAATCATGAGCATATGAATTTAATGGCATCGAGCAATCATCTTTTTAACCATTAGTCTTTGATATTGATGTCGCGTAATTTCTCTTTTAAACAATTTCATGGACCTGAACTGGTTTACTACGTTTTGTTATTTTACTATTTGGTTATTTTTTTAAAAATTTCAAGAGGAAAGGACCCAAGATCGCGCTAAAATTGTTTAGGAGGATGGGGAAGAGGAAATTTACAATAAAAAAAGTGTGAAGATTGCTCAAAAATTGCTCGAGCAGGTTTCTTGGTGCTTGGTCACAACTATGGAGTTGGGAAAAACTTAGGTTCCAAATGTCCACCGCAACTTCACAACTAGGAGTAACTTTGAAGTGTAACTTTTGTTTCCTTTGTTTCTTTCTAACTTTATATTATCTTTTCTTGAAGCAAAAATGGTTGCGGGGAAAACTTTTTTGGATAAAATATTTGCCTATAGACTTGGGTGCATTTTCTATTGAAGAGTTATATTGTTTACAATGTTTTGTTTTAGTTTTTTTTTTATGGTTTGTGAAGAATTTTTGGTAGATTTATTTTGTTGTTGTTTAGGTACCGTGTGCTCTTGAAAGTTGTAGATTGTTTGGTTTGGTTTAGTCCTTTCTTGGAGGATTTGCTAAGTGTAATTTTCAACTGCTAAGAGTAATTTTCAACTGTTCAACTGTCGAATTACCGAGACTTTATTAAATATCTTTCAGCTATTAACTGGTTACTGGTTAAGTTAAAAAGTGTTGTTACCGAACTAGGCTAAGTTAATTGGTTCTATGTTTCATCTTTTTTTCTGTTCTTTTTTTTGCTATAATTTCTTCTTCAAATTTTCATGTTATTTACATCAAGTATCCTCATTTACACAAAGAATCGAACTTTATCAAGCAAAAATTGTCTCTATCGAAATATTGTAAGTAAGTTAATTGGTTCTATATTTAGTTTTTTTTTTCATTTGAATATGTTTTTTCACTCTAATTTCTGCTTGAAATTATTTATGTTGGAAATCTATATATTTGAAATGTTTTACAGTGTGATTGCTTAGAGCCTTAGATGGGTAGTTGTGTCTTTTTTCTAACGCCAAGGTGAGAGGTAAAATATTGAATTTGCCGTGAAAGATTGTGCATCGTGTACATATTAGAAATCTGCCAATAGAGGGCATGTATCAAGAATGCTTTGTGGCAGCTACAAGAATCAAGAAAAGCCAAATATACTTGCCTAGGAGGCAAGGATTCATGAAATAATTAGAATTCTGAAGAATATTAGAAGCCAAAACTCCTCTTAAATGTGGTAGCACTTAAATTTTGGCTTCAAAGCTAAAGCCAAAGATCTTGCTTTGAAGAGAGTAGGCTTTAAAATTTTCGTTAATTAAATATTGGTGATTTTGTCTTCAGTTTAAATTTATGTAATTGAGTTGTCTCTATCTCTTCATGAAAATTTGTTTTCACGAGAACTTTATACAAGTAATTTTTTGTTGAGTATTTATGCAAAGTGCGGGTATATTAAGGATGTAGTTTAGGCATTTGGTGATTTGGTTGAGCCTAATGTGTGTCCATATTTAGTATTTGATTTTTTTGTGTTCATGATCAATGTTCGAATTTTTTTGAATTGAATAGTTCCTTCAGACATGGGTTATTTTAGTTAATTCATAGTTATTTTTGTTTCTTTGTGTGTTTTTTTTTTGGTTGATATATGTAGTTTATATATCGTTTTGTTGTGTGATTGAAGTTGTTTGGGACTATAAATTTTTATGAATTATTTTTAAATTTTTTTAGAAAATGGTTGTACTATACAATTTTATGTTTGACCTGTCACTTTTTCGATTATTCATTTGGTACATTTGTTGTGGTTAGTTCATGTAGGAGCAATAGTTTTCAGTTGCTTTAGATTCGTAAAAAAATCATATTGTTTACATTTTAATCACATCCATTTCATTTGGTCCTTTATATAGGTAACACATTGATTTGTAGGCCTTAATTAGGAGAGACAAGAAAAATTAATTGGATAAACTCGATTAAACTCGAGGAATGTCATACGAGATTCATAGTTTATTTGTTTAAATTAGTATTTTATAGAGGGTGGACTGTGTATTTAGTGTTTTATAGATATTGTATATTTTATTGGGGTCATGTTTTTAGGAAAAATTATGTCCAAATTTTTAAAAGAATAAAGAAAAATTAACGATTTTTGGCGTAGCATAACATAATGCCTATATTTTTTCTAATGGCATAGGTTTGACAATTCCTGTAAGTTAACTTTTGATTAAATATATATGGACACTATTGTTAGTTCTAATTAGGTATGTAGTTTCAAGCATGTGAATTTTATGTGTTTTCAATTTCAAATTATGGGATCTTGATTATTAATGATGGCTTTTATTCATCTCTTCATTGAAATTTATTTTCACACGAATCTTCATATAGGTAAATATTTTCTTGAGCATGTATGCGAAGTGGTGTATTAAGAATTTAGTTTAGGTTGTCAGCTTAATGTGTGTCCATGTTTTTTTTTTTTGGGTCAAGACGTGTGTCCATGTTCGGTGTAGGATTTTTTGTGTGCATGATCAATTTTTTATTTTTTAAATTGGCATAGTGCCTTCAAACACGAGTTATTATTTTTCAGTTATGTATACAAGTTGATATTTCCATTGTCTCAACTCCTATTTTTAGAGCAAGCTCTTCTGAAATAGTCCACAAAAAATTTTAGGGACTATATTAATTTCAATTTCTCTAATTAAAGTAATCATTTTTAAATTAATTAGTTGGTTTACGTTGCACTGTACCTTCAGGCACAGGTTATCCCTAGTCAAATTGATAATAATGGACGGAAATGCATATAAAATAGCTAGGAAAATAAATTAAATTAAACCCATGACTAAAGTAATCAAATTCTAACAGTTTTCCAATTACAATGGCTCATTACATATTTTCTTATTATGGCTACCAAAACGCCCACAACGAGTACAACGAATACACATAACGAGTTCACTCCTCGACCTTATTCTACGTTTCTTTGGTCGCCTAGGCTACTTCTTAGTTGATGCGGCGGCAAGATATCAACCTCTTCCAACGAAAAAACTGGATGACCAAGCGTCAAAATGGGGAAAATAGGTTCAGCATATGACTTCCTGTATGTGTTCACATGATAGTAATAATCAACGAATTTATTTATATTCTGCCATCTCTTATGAATCATCAATACCGCATGTGACCAAGGGAGCCCATTAATCTTCCACTAGTACCATGTGCACATGCCATTTACAATGTCAACAGACACCGAAAGGTATGAATTCACTTTGTACACATCGTTGTTTGAAACCCTTATAGACCAAGACATACATTCATCAAATGCATTCTTTAATTTTGATTCCATATAAAGACATAAATTCTTATTCCACTTGGGTGATGCCTTCATCCTATAACTCATTTGATTCATAAGTTGTCCCCTTATAGTTTCAATCATACTAGTCACTGATAAATGATATGATTTCATAATTCAAGCATTGAATGACTCCGTTGTATTAGACGACTTTTCACCATAACATATTATCTCCAAAATGAGCATTTTTCCAATGCTCATAGTAAGGATATTTGTCAGTAACTTGTCCGCATTAGAAACACCATCGCGCTTTAAAGCTTCAATCTTCTCGTTCAATAAAGATATTGTCGGTGCATAAGCATACTCGCGTAGCAAAAATACCATATGCTTCCTAAAGTATTTGAAAAACGTCCATCGATGAACTTGTCCCTTAAGTTTGCCTTCAAATGTTGCAAGCAAATTGCATGATGAGCATTCAACAAAACCTGGGACGTAGCTTCCAACAAACCCACGTTGCAATCAGTCACAAACGTAATCTTGCGTGTATGATTTAAAATCTCCATCAACTGTTGTAAAATCAATAAATTGGCTCATTTTTAGAATCAACCACCACAAAAGCTATTACGGATAAACCTAAAAAATATTATATATAAGTCATCAAATCTTAAAACAAAGAATTAGTGGCAACAAACAATAACTTTGAATCTGAATTTGTAATATCTAAAAAAAAAATATTATACCTTGTTTACCATCTTCTTTTACATGTGTCAACAGTATTTGAAGGATATCGACAATAAAATTACACATATACACTCTTGTGTTTTGTGAATAGAAAAAAATCTTACTATGACATCATTTTTTAAATGAAGAGGACACTAAAATTACACATAAAATTTTGGTTTTTTTAAAAAAAATAGAATGGCAACATACCGTGACACAACATTGTTTTAATGGATTTATGACTCTCTACAACTACAACACACGCTTACATAACACACGATAGAGTGACAAGGTAAAGTGATCCATTTATTAACTACACATAGAAATGAACAAACACGATCACATATCCAATTGACAATAATGAATGGAAATATGTATAAAATAGCCTGAAACATATTATATATAAGTCATCAAATTTTCAAACAAATAAACAGTGGCAAAAAATAGTAACATTGACTCTGAAATTGCAAATATTTTTTTAAAAAAAATTACACAGTAAAAAAAAACTATTTACCTTCTAAATAGTAGCATTGACACGCCACTCGCATCCAGTGGAATACATTGACGCACACTCGGCGATAACCCTTCATCTACAATTGTTAACATAATTAAATTCAAAACCAACTTCAATTGAGTATTTGCAAGGAGCATTATGAAACTGTGACACACTACTTTCAAACTTCTGACCTTCAAGGCAAATTCATTAATCCAACCAGATGAGAGTAGAACTTTCTCATTGTGAGAACTAAAACACGAAAGCAAATTGTCCTCAAATTTAAACACAACATCATCTATCAATATCATCAACAACACATGACTCGTCGTCTCGTACAACAACTTTCATATCAACATATTTAATTGGAATACATCATTACAAATCAAACATGTTCTTTATATCTAAATTATTGCGCAAAATACAATTTCGATGACTAGGGATAGAATATGAGAAACCTACAGACACTTCTCAAATCATCACATGTGTCACGGATTCCACGGACAACGTTATTGAACGTTGAATAAACAAAAAATCTTGACACTGATGTCTCATTATTGTACCTATATACCATCATTATAGTATCCTCCATTGAAAACTCCTATCATTAATAAAATTAAGGAACTTGGTTAAAAAAATGAGGCAATACTATTACCAAAACTGTGACATCAATCTGAGACAAAAAACAAAGACATGCATAACAAAACTATGGAGGTAAAAAAAAGTTAATTGAAATATAACTATATGAGCATAATTAAAATCCACCCAATGTGATAATACACGAAAATTGTTGGTCTGCAAATATAATTGTAAATTGTGATTATTTTTTTTTGATCAAATCGATTATGATGTTTAAAAGCAAATAAACGTTATTGACGTTTTCAAAACCAAATTCGGTACACCATCTTAGAGATGATGGATTTCAGTGGCTGCTTTAAGAAGATAATTCACCAGTGGCTAAACGGATGAAAAACAAAATGAATGTTGTATCTGTTTCCAAAACTAAAATCAAAACAATGAAGAATATAAAAGATGATAGTCGGTGTCTGCTTGAAGATACCAGAATACGTAAATGGATGAATGGAAAATAAACGTTGGTTGGCAATAATATTAATAGAATCCTTTCAAAATTCGAACGATTATTTATCTATTAATTTAGGAAATTACTTCACCAATAAAACCGAATCAAAAAAATAAGGAAACTACAAATTATTGCATAAAATAAGTAAAGTGAAATTACGTACTACTAAAATATGAGTATTTAAAAATATGTACATAGTTACCAAATATTTAAGAGAAGGTGTACTTAATGTTAAAAAAAAATTTGTACTATGTACTTTATTTGGAATAAGTCCTAAAAAGTGGACTCCTCCCAATTTTCTCTAAATTTGAATGAATATGCATTGCCCATGACCTAAAGCCCATACAAAAGTATTTAGGTAAATTATCTTAAATGAATAACAACTCTCAGCATTATAAATAGAAGTATAGTGGAGGCCAAGGGACAGGGCTAAGGAAGAGAAATAAGAGGAGTGAAGATAGAGGGAAGATCAAAGAAAGCTTTACCCGAGTGAGTCCATTTCAAGAAGAAAATGGAGGATAAGCAGTGAAGCTCTGCCAAAGTCTTGCAAATCTATCTCTGAAGAGAAGAGCACACCACTAAAATCCTTCTTCAAGAGAATCCTTAAAGTCATCTTCAAGTCAATCCTTGCAAAGAACAGTGTGTTAACATCAAAATAAAGATCGAGAATCCTGATTCTCTTCATCAAATTTGTCAAAGTCTTCATCAAATTTGTCAAAAATCATAGGACTGTACACATGAAAAACACACTGAAAAGAGTCCACCACTTTTTCTATTCAAGAGTCAAATAATCAAATAATTATAATTTGACATTCATTTTTTGTTATTTTACACACAATTTATCATTACAAGAGGAAATCTCAATCCCATGATTGCGCCGTTTACAGCTTAAATCCGTCCCCACAATAAGAAGCCTCCATCTTCAACAATCCACTCCTAATTGTTGCTTAGAAATCACATTATAGCTCAAAATGCACTTGAAATTCCATATTAACACTCAACAAATTGTGGTAAAATTTCTTCCAATACTATTTTTTTTTTTTTGGTGGATTGTTATTTCAAATGGAACCCATTGCATAGGGAGCAAGTCCCTTGTTAATCTTCAAGAAAGAAAAGAGAAAGAAAAAAAAAAATATTAGAGGAAATCTCAATTCTTAACAAATGAACCTCAACCATATCCGCCGAGTAAACAAAAGTTTCACCAACAGTCATGTTGCTTCTGACAAGAGTTGAAACATCTAAACAATAGAAAATTAACCCTGCCACCAAACACTTGAGGTTGTCCGCCACATCAAGTAAATAAAATGCGACCAGGACACCCCCCCGATAGCAAATCTGACTTGAAAAACAAAAGCTTAGGAACAACTATGTCTAGCACAATAAAATGATGTTTTGACATTTAAGGCATAGTTGAGACCTCCGCTTTTGCATTCATGTGTTCATACAACAACCAGAGGCACTGCATGCACCGTTCTGTCCATCCACACTAACATACACAGCTAGTCTCTCAGAAAGCACAATTAACCAATTATAACTTCAACGGTTTCAACCCGAGCGACGCCCGAAGCCTGTTCGCTTCTGCAATCTCTGGGTCTAGATGGTCTGTTCCATCATCCTTCTTCTCCTTCTTGTCCTTCTTCTCTTTCTTCTTCTTTGGTTCATCCCGAGTGTTCCCATCCTCTGGCCCATCACCACGCCTTCTAGGACTAATGCTGCTATGATGAGCATGCCTCTTGCGGCGATCCTCACCATCATGATCCTTGCGATCCCTGCTCCTACTTCGGCTCCTTGAATGGCTCCTCCGCCTGCCACGATCCCTGTCCCGCCTATCCCGCTCCCTACCTTCCCTCTCCCTTTCTCGATCCCTCTCACGACCATAATCCTTGTCTTCTCTCAGGCGATGACGGTCTCTGTCTCTTTGCCTGTCTCCGTCTCTGTCACGCCCTCTTCCACGATCCCTATCATAATCTCGATTGTAATCTCGATCTCTGAGAAAGAAAATTAACAACAAAAACACCATGAATAAGCTTCAAAATGTTAACCATACATGTTGCTTCTCTAAATGATATATGGAATTTGAAAAACCAACTACTACCTATATCTACATCTATATCTAGATCTAGATCTACTATTATAAAATGTCAACAAAAATAAAAAACTTTTGATTGATTAAAATAGCCCTAGTAAAACAACTAATGCCTATATTATCTTTCTTATGTAATAACAACATCAATATTATTTGAATTGTGAAGGTTGTGTGGGACATAAGCTTTGGTTTGGTTTGGTTATGTGGACTGGAGGGTCGACTAGGTTGCTATTGCATATCTATATTTATACTACTTATACAATTTTTTCTTCACTCAATAGTTGTAACTGACAATGTTTAGGCGCTACAGATTCTATGTTTTGGAATTGGAATTCGAATCATTTATCTTCCATGTTCTAAGATTCTTCATAAACAGTTAACACCAATATTGAATACGCAATAATATCAGTTATATATCAAAAGTTCAATCATTTCACGCCATTCCCCTTCTCACTTATTTGATGTCTGATACAAAAGGTTGGTTATTTATTTGCAGTATGGCACATTGGCTTGATAACATATATGTGATTTGCGGATATTTTTTAGTTTTTTTGAACTGAAGTCGGTGAATGAAGCCGACGAAAAAGTACACTTCATCGATTGAAGAGCTCAACATCCATGTTAATATTGGATCTGGAATGTTATGAGATTAGCACTTTCTAGGAGCAATAAGGTGTTCTTTGTATGAAATGTGCCAAGGAGATTGGGTATTGATGTTATAATAACCTTTTTCATTATTACATCTTTTTTTTTTTTTTTGTAGTCAAATTTATTTAAACAATGAAACAGAATAGCTAGGCTAAAATGGTAGGCATTGGTCTTCACTGGTAGGTCATCTAGAATGCCAAGAGTTTTGGACAGGACACTACTGAAAGCTTGGGTCACGGCAAAAATCAATGGCCTGAAACTTTTTTGACATAGGGTTCTTGTATAGCCCTTTTCTCTTATGGGATTAAATTGCGAGGAATTTGATGTATTTGGAAATGTTACTCGAGTTTATAGATTTTTGCATAAATACATATGAATTTGGTTCATGTAAAAGATTCCAATGGGCTATTTCTGGGCTTATAAGCTCATGTGAAGCAACTGAGCATTTGCAATTTTAGCTATGAATTATAAACTTCATTTCTAAATGTTGCACTTATGAAAGGGCTGTTAATTGAGCGGTCGTACAAATCATTGGGGCTTCATAATTTAAGCATTGGAATGAGTTAAAACCTAGTTTTTTATCTAGGAAAATGGTTTTTCTAGTTAACGGTTATCATCTTATGCACGTTGTTTTCCTCACTTTTTGTACAAAATCATCCATAATCTGCGCACTCAACAGCCAACTCATGAAACTATCAACTGCTATGATAAATATGTACCAAGAGTCTTCCCAAAAGTTCATTATATCAATAATGTGCGAAAATTTTTCGATCTTATATATTTTTGGCTGAATGTTTTACCACTCGCTAATGACCAAATATTTGGGGAATTTCATATGTTACTAGGTGGCTATCTTTGATTATAGTGTAAACTATACTTTGGATTGACACAAAATGTTATGAAACGTGAACTTGAATCTTCAGTTCTTTTGTTGCATAAATCCAAACCCTTGCTTCAAAACTCAAAGGTCATGTGACAGATACATGAGAGAAGGATTAAAACTCATGAATCACCCAAACCTCACTTTCTATGTGAAATATGAGACTCTTATTATTGGGTTAATTTACTTTCTAATCTATGTAAAACCTATTTTCTTATTCATTATGAATGTATAAGCTTTGTCTCAAATTGGGCTGAGTTTTTGTTTTTTGATATTTTTATAGTCTCAGCTTTGCTCATTTGATTATGTATGGTTATCGCCAAAAGTTGACTTTATAATCCCATGATTTGTGTGGCCTTTTTATAATTGCTTTGCAGGTATATTAAGTAGGTTTATACAATGGGTGGAGTTTAGGAAGGTCGTAGAGGTTGAACAATGACTAGGCAAGATAAAGCTTAACATAAACTTCTTCTGATCTTGACCTTCAATTTTACATCCATTTGTATGGGCTCAATTTTTGGGTTGTACCTTTGCCCAAGTGTTTCTTTACTGAGATCCATACAAGTTCCAATTTGGGGCTAGAGAATTTATGGCCTCCGGCATAGTACACATAATAATCAATTGGGTGGGTTTCCAGTAAGATTATATCAAGGCACTTGTTTTAGAGAAAATGATACATGGCACTGATATTCCATATTTTTTACTTAGAATGGTACACATGTGCTTCAACTAGTATATATCTATACTACCATAAAATGTTAAGAAAAGTAAAACTTTTGATTGACAAAAATAACCTTCATAAAACCACTAATGCCCATACTATCTCTTGTAATTAACAGTTATATTAATACTATTGAAGGTTATGTGGACTGTTGAGGTGCTATTGCATTTTTGGTAAGTGCTACATATCTTCTATATGGCTAGTAAAAAAGAAGAGTGAAGCCAGAAATCAACAAAACAGGAGGTAGGAAATCGTAAAGTTACTGCCAATTAAGGAAGAATAATTGTTATAGAACTCTTCACATTTCCCAATTAAATTGGTGAGAAGTTGTTTGGCCAGCCAATTTGAAGTTTTTCTATTTTTATGCGCCATCCATTTGCACCACACCATCTTTGTTCATCACAGAATGCAAAGAGAACCCAAATCCATGCTAAACTGCAAAACACTCCCCCTCTTGGTGTCTCCCTCGTCCCTCTAATTTCAAAACCCTAACCCAATCTTAAATCTCTATCTCTGTCACACTCGGCTACCTTATCAGTGAAAAACTCTAACCTATTCTTATTGGTTTTGTAGGAATTTCAAATCAAAGTTTTGCTTGTTGTCAACATTCGTATACTCCATCATGCACCCTCTCTCTAAAAAAAGCCTTTCCTTGATTCTCATGGATGGGTCTTCATGGTGTATTCATAATGCTTTGTGGTTGAAGAGTGGGATTATTGAAGTTTCTAACACTTAAGATTGAGATATTCCAAACTGAGATATTGCTTTGTACAAATGGAAGTTATCTGGCCAATATGTTATATAAGGAGGAGTTTGAAACACCTCAGATCCAGTTAAGCATTTACCTTGTTGGGCAGTTGCTTCTTTGCCTCTTTTTTCATGGCTCTTGTGGATCACACAAGAATATTTTTTAGTATTTTTGGGATTTATGCATGATCTATTCTTTGTTCTGGATTTTGTTTGGTTGTAGATGTCAAATGTCAATGGATAGGTTCTTGAATTTGTGTGATTGAACCATATAGGTAGCTTCATATGGGTCGATTACTACTAACCTACAAGTACTGAGCTTTATTTTCTTTGCCATGGGCATAATCTACAACAAGACAAACGGTTTCATATTCTGATGTTTGCATATTGTGGATGTAACGTGGTTTGTGATTTGCATTTTATTTTATTTTTTTGACTATTTGTATTGTTTTTCTTTATTTTGCTCAAGTCATGCCACAAAATGGGATGTGAACCAATGTTTGTATTTATACAATTATGAACTATGGGATATTTGAGTTCATGCTACTAATGCAACTACTTTCAGTTTTTTGTATGCTATGATAAGGAAAACTTCTGTATTACAAATACAGAGACTATATGTTGAAGATGTAAAAGAGATGTATGTGTAAGCTCACCATTTCAGGCACTTGAACAGATTCTTTTTTGTGATCCCAAAGTGTTCCCCTCAATGCATGTAAGTCAACTTGTTTATAGGTTTTCATACTGAACTTCGACCTTAGTTGCCTAAATTGTTAAAATGATGAGAAGAATCAATCCAAAACCCAACAGATATATCATTAGCAATTCTCACTTCTAGTTTCACCCTAGCAATCTGGACATATCCCAAGCCAAACGTTCATCTTCTCCGTTGCAGCTATCGCCCAGAAGTGTTGCAATTTGTTTTAGCTGATGATCAGGTCGGGTTTGAGATTCATGAGAGCTTTGATAATTTTCACTGTTTTTTTTTTTTAATGTTTAGGTTAGTTATTGCTGAGGTTACATTTGTCATGATCTAAGCATGAGGACCTTGATCTTGACCATGGTTGGATTTTTGTAAGTGATTTCGTCTAGGTTTAGGCAACTGTGTTTCTCATGCATTTTAGGCAAAAATGGCAATGCGAGCAAGATCAGTTTTGCAATTGAAAACTAATAAGCTATTAGTCCTCTCATTTAATCCCATCATGATTATGGGAAAATTATTTTTGTGATGGTAACAGGTAACTACCGAAATAGATTTTCCACCACCACTTCTCTTTTTCCATCGGGTATATCTTTTGAGTTTGTCCGTTACCAACACTTGCAAAATTATTTTTCTCTTCATTCTGTTAGACCTCACATCTATTATTCTATCAGGGCTAGAAAGACTTAAAAGAACTTCATTGGCATTCACATCCACCATTGCTAATGGTTTTAGCATCTAGATGCCTTTAAACATTGGAAATGTCATCCCCACAATGCTTGAAGGCTACCTTGAAAAGTGCTATGGAATTGGAGTAAAGGCATGGATAAGATAGAAGTGTGCATTCTAAAGAATTTTTTTATTCTAAACTAATTTTTTTTCTCTTTTTTGCAAGTTAGAACAAAATCTTTTTCTGAAATTGGGGTGGTGTGACCATGGTTCAAGGCCGCGGTATCGACCATCAACTCGGAGAGCCCCGAGACACAACGGTCACGGCGCTGTATTGGGCGATACGACCTAAAAGAAAATGTTGAACATGACGAGAAATTCAAGTCATATCACGGTGTTATGGAACCGTATCGGTCAATTTGGTGACAATATTTCGACAACTCATGATTGACTCAGATACAACTCGACCGAATTGTGCAAGACTTTAGGGTTTATACGTATCGTATAACGATATCGTCTCCGAAGGTGCCGAAACGGATACAACTCAGCCAACTCGTATCGGTATCGACCGATACTTTGAACCATGGGTGCAACTATGTTATTATTGCTAGATTTAAATGTCATAAAAAGTATCAATAGTTTTTATTCTAATATAATTCAATTAGACTAGATAGTATTTGATTATTACCGATGAGTTTGCCAGTGTTGAATGTTGGCAAGCATTATGATCTCTCTAATTCAATTAGACTAAATAAATAGTATTTGATTACTACCGATGAATTTGCTAGTGTTGAATGTTGCCAAGCATTATGATCTCTCTAATTCTATTGATTATGTTTATCCTAATTATTTGTTACTCTTAGGGAAAACTGATGTGTGGTTCTCAAGTTTCATTTAGCTTGTTTTAGTACTAAATGTTAATGCTTGATGTATTTGCAACTATTTATTCACTTCTCTTATTCGGATTTGTTTTCACACGAAGTTCAACAAATTATTCTGGATAGTAATTTACGTAATTTCTTAGAGTTTGTGGATGCTTTTGTGTTTTGAGTTCTCAATATGCCAATTCAAGTAGTTGAGATTAAGAGGGGTGAAAAAACCAAAGAAGGAAATAGGATGTCATGAAATCTCTCCCTCCCTCTCGACATCCTATTTTGTTCAATCTTTTCCTTTATTTAATGTCGTAATTTACAAAATAAATCTTCAAATTATAGATCCTTTGCTAGAGATTTGATGGTCACAAGGTTTCTTTTCAGTGAATCATGGCCACAATGTTGCTTGGCTTGTTGAGCCACCTACATAGTCAATTCTAATGTCTGACAAGATTATTCCGGTAAAACAAAGAATTTAAATGTTACGATTGACTCCTATTTCACCAAGAGCGACGACATCCCAACATTTCATGGAAATAAATATTAGTACTTAATTTACATAGTTTTGAGCAATTAACATGAAAAATAATTATTTTTAAATTGATTTTTTAAAATATTTATAGATGCAGCATAATTATTTCTAAATAGTTAATTACATTTTGTCTCCTCATGCACAAAAATAAACAATCATAATCAAAACCGCGATTCAAGTTTATTTATGTACAACGCACGTGTGCATTAACTAGTATCTATAAAATGTCAACAAAAGAGAAAAACTTTTGATTCCCAAATACACTTTTGAACAATGCTACAAAGCCAATTTAATCCTTACTTCAATTTTTACCTTAATTAATACCATAAAGTTAATTTTGCAATTCATCCAAGAGTTGTTTTCCCATCTTAAGTGTATACATTAATTATTAATTTCATTAGAAGCTTCCTATTCTCCATTTTTTATTGTATTAAATTACTTTTAAGTTTTAGACTTTATATATTCTTGGAGTCATATAATAATGACTATTGTAAGAAAAGTATTATATTATATTCCTAACCAGTTATATAAAATCTATTTATAATTTTGTAATGATTATTGTAATAAAAGTATTATCTCGTTTTAAATCCTTAGTCAATATTATAACAGTTTATGACCTATGGATTTCAAGATTAAATACGCTAAATGTATTAAAAATACATGAATTACTGGATGTTTAACTATTTTACCTCTTCAATATTCTCCATTTCTACATACGCCTTATATACAAAGTGGAATGGTCTCTCTCTCTCTCTCTCTCTCAATTGAACCTCAAAGAGCATTTCAAATATGGTTTCAGCATTTAGTGGTAATTCACATATGGTTTTATGGTGAAGTATTGATTAGATGTCAAATGTTTGAGAAAACCTTTTGAAATCCTAATCTTAATTATTTAAATGTCAACAACATCTAATCTTTAATAACCACCATTAAAATTATTCTCCTTGTCGATATTACTTATAACAGTAGCCTACTCCCACCTTCTCATTTCCCTATTATTCTATAACCCTACTCCACTAAGAACTCAAGAGACTCCTCTCTCACATGTATATAGAAAGGACAAGAAACTTATCAAATGCTCCATTAATATTACTCTCATTATTATTGTTTATGACATAATAGCATACTCACCATCTTTTCCTATCCCTATTAAATTACTAAGCATCTAGAAAAACTTCTTTCTCCCCCTCTATATATAGAGAACAAGAAACTCGTCAAAAGTTACATAGATGACAATACTAGTTGAGTTAGCCTTAAATAGCATTACTCTTTTGTCAAAAAGACAAAAAAAATATATTTATGGATGCCTTGCAACCACTTTGAAAGTTACAAGAGATTATCGAGACGATATCATTATGGATAATAGACCAAAAGTAACAATTATCATTCTTGATAGACTTCAATGTAGAGAGTTATTTATCGATTAGAGGGTTTAACAAGGGCTTAATTAAAACAACTCCCCATAGATATTTGCATTTATCATAATCTCTTTACGTTTGCAGCAACAAGTTGTGTAAAATGTGAAATGGAGTTCCCAATTGATTCTAAAAAGGAAATCCATGTCCATGAAGGATGACTAAGCAAAAAGTACAGTGATCCAACACACTTGCAGCTGCAAAATGCCGGTGCAGACAAACCTTGCAGTATCAGAAAGCATTACTGCCAGTGATTTTTCGAGGCTTTCCATGCCATAACTGGGGCTACTATCTGACCTCTGTAAAGGCACCCATGTGTGTGGGGATCTATATCATATTTAGTAAACAGTACACACTTATGCAAAGCAATCTCATAATCCCCACACTGCAGCGAAAACATATTTACACACACAAAACTTATAGTTTATAATCACACTGTTCCATTTTCTATTGCTTTCAACCCACAACACATCCTTCCACCGTTACACCGCAACAGGATTGTGTGATCCATCAGACTTCTTGCTGCACGCTGTCAGAGCAGAGGAACCTGGAAGGATCATAACATATTGATCTACTAGGTCCTTCCACCATTACATGGCAACAGGATTGTGTGATCCATCATACTTCTCGATGCACACTGTCAGTGCAAAGAAACCTGGCAGGATCATAACATATTGATCTAGGAAGCTGTTTTAAGCCAGTGATCCCTAAAATGCAACTGCAGTACATACCCCTACATAATGTGAATGTGTGTGCCTGTGTTAGTTTATATATGAGTGTATGGTATGTGTGTGCTTAAACAACAGCTTCCACTAGGATCATTATGCAAAGAAATTTCATAATTCCTTGCCAATGATGACGTAAACTATAGAAACAAAAAGTTAATTCTAAGCTCATAATTGCTAAAAATTATCAAGATCTATTTTTTGAGGTAACATCTGGACATGACATCAAAGCGGCCTTAATTCATCAGGGTATAAGATACGTGTCAGTTCAAATCCCATTGTTTGTAGGGTGCAGTAAGAAGTTGTATTAAATCTCTAACAACAAATAATAGGTACATAAAGCATATATATAATGCCTTCCAACCAAAGTCAGTATCCAACTCTAACAAAAGGAGGCATCCCGGCGACACATCTGGCACTGTGTAGTTCTTTAAGAAATCAAAGTGACAATCTGGTTGGATACGGCGTAGAAAATAGGACATTTTGTTATGATGTTGTGTGTTATTTTTAGACTAAGGGTAGTTTTATACTTCGTGAACGTATAAAAGTTGGGTGTTGCCATGCAACCTACCACATTACTCCCTTCTCATATTTTTCTTTCTTCTCCTCTTCTCCAAAACCCTCACGATTTCATTATCTAACTTGATATCAGAGTATCAATCAAATCTAATGTTTCAAAGTTGTCAGAATTCATCAGAAATCACATCTCGCAACCAGCTGTGGATATCGTCAGATTCTGACACGATGAATCAACCATGTCATAATTTTTCGAAATTCCCATGATAGTTTCTCGTCTCTTATTGCTAAGTATTATGGTGATTTTTATGAAATTTTTTGAAGTGATCTGAATGGTCTTTTGAATTTTGAAACATTTTTTGGGGTTTTTCATTTTTTTTCTCAAATCTGCAATTTTTGAGTTTTTTGGGGGCTATATCTAAGCCAAATCAGTTCGAATGGGAGTGACTAGGGCTTGTGTATAATGCCCAGTCAACTTTGTTCAATTTGGATTGGTTTTGAGCAATTTTTGGGCATTTTTGGACAGTCGGCAGTAGCTTTTTGGCCTGTGAGTTTTCTGGTTTCAATTTGGTCATAGAGAATACTTGACCCTTGTTCTACATTGTTGGCTTCAGTTTGTTGCATTTGGATTTGATTTGAAGCATTTTTTAGCCATTTTTGACTGTCGACAGTAGCTATTGATCTGTCCAATGAGTTTTTTGTCTTCAATTTGGGTAACAGAGGATACTTGACCCTTATTTCTACCTCTGGGTGTTGTACTGGGAATATTCAACTACTGTGGGGGTATTTTTCTGGTTGTGGTTCTTTTTTGGGGGAGTGATTTCTTGGGATTTTTAGGATCTTTTTGGTTGCTGTTGATTTTGCTCAATCCTACTCTATGAGGTGCGACTGGAGAAATATGTTTAGCCACTGTTGAGGCCTTTCTTCAGGTAGAGGCAAATTACTTGAGTTGTATTGCCTTATTGGTTTTGTATATTTTTTTGGTGACTATTGGAAGTGTTGGCTATTTAATTGGTTTTGTGACCTGCTGCGTGATTGTTTGACCCTATTGTGTGGACATGTCAAAAAGGAGTGTAACCTCTAGTAATTTCGCTCAAGATGAGATGTAGACTCAACTCTCAAGCATTTGATTGCTCGACTTAATGTTTCCTTTACCACAGCTACTAATATCAACTCTTCTTCCAAATTTGCTCATACATGTATTTTTGCTAGTGTGTTTACTACGTAATATTACTCCTTTTATAATAGATTCTAGAGTCGTGGATCACATGACAGGTTTTTTTTGCCTTCTCTCATATTCTACTTGTTATGGGAGGGATAAAGTTAGGGTGACAAAAGAATTTTTATCCTCTATGTCTAGGAAAGTTTCAATTAATTCGTCACCCTCTTTATCTCTGTCCTCTATTTTCCATGCTCCCAATTTCTCTACAATGTTATTGTCTGTTAGTAGTATTATCAAATCCTTAAATTGTTCAACGACTTTTTTCCCCGCTCATTTGCCTTTCAGGAACTAGAATCAGAAAAGATTGACAGTTGTAGAGCACATGGCGGTCAGTACCTCTTGGATGCTAAAACTTCTTTTCAGTCTATTTGTCAAGCTCTCCAAACAAATGGTGTTTCAGCTCTTCAGCTCTTACATCAGTGACAGAGACTTCTGGGGGTATCCATCATTTGGTGTTGTAGAACATCTTTTTCTTAGCCTAGCAAATCAGTGTAGTAGACAATACTTTGTTTGTGATGCTTGTGAATTTGTCAAACATAAACGTTCATCTTATTCTCGTGTGGTGTCTACTTTTGGTTATCGTTAGTTTGTTACCTTTATTTATAATTATTCTTGTCTTACTTGGGTTTACCTACTACACAGTAAAGGTGAAATTTTCTCGTGCTTTATATCTTTCCATAAAATGTTATGTACTCAATTTGATGTCAAAGTCTAAATTATTTGAAGTGATAATGGAACCGAGTATAGTGATGAGAAATTTAGATCTCATCTCAATAAAAATGTCATCTTGTATCAAACTACTTGTGTGTGGTACTGAGCAAAATGGTGTTGCTTAGCGAAAAAATCGTCATCTTCTTGAGGTTGCTCGTTCATTGATATTTGTCATAAATGTTCCTCAATCTTTCTAGGGGATGTAGTTCTTATTACTGCTTATCTTATTCATTGTTTACCCTCAAGTGTCCTCCAACTTACGTCGCCTATCGACTGTCTTTTGAGTCCTTTTTCATACCTTCTATTTCTTCCCTTCCTCCTAAAATTTTTGGGTGTGTTTGTTTTTTACACGATTACAAATAATCTAGGGAAAACCTTGACCCAAGGCTCTGCAATGTAATTTTTGTTGGTTACTCTGCCACCCAAAAGGGATATAAATGCTATCATCCACAGTCACAAAAAATGTATGTCAACATGAATGTTACCTTTTGTGAATTTGAGTCCTCCTCTACTACTCAGACATCTCTTTAGGGGGAGAATACAACTACGGGGGAAAGAGATGTTTTGTTAGAAGCCTTTTCTTCAATTGTCTATTCAATGGAATGTTAGCTAAGGGGTGCAACAACTTATGGAGGAAAAATGTGATGGTAGTAATCCACGTGGTGCTCACCTTCACAAGGATAATATAAAAATTTATTCTCAATGTCAAAAAGTACAAATTATCCATGTGTCGTTGCATCAATCAGATTCCTCAACTCCAGTGGCAAAGATGAATTTCATATGTGCTCTTCTCTTATGCAACTAATTTGGGATAGAGTTTGTAGTAGTTAGATGTAAAGAATACCTTTCTACATGGAGATTCCTCCGGGTTTTTCATCTCTAACAACGGAAGGGATATGGATTGAAACAATCTTCTAGAGTTTGGTTTGATAGATTTCTTAAAGCTATGCAACAATTTGGGTACAAACAAAGTCATGTTGACCATACTTTGTTCGTTAGACTAGTTGATGACAAGATTACAATCCTCATTGTATATGTGGATGACATAGTGATAACTAAGAATAATGAAACATTAAGTTACCAAATTGAAGACTCAGTTGGTTAAGGAGTTTGAACTCAAGGACTTAGGTCCATTGAGGTACTTCCTTGCGATAGAGGTTGTCAGTTCAGATAAAGGCATTTTTATCTCTCAGAGAAAGTATGTTCTCGATCTTTTTGAAGAGACATGAACTTTGGGACGTAGACCACCAGATTTTCTTATTGAAGTCAACCATCGTCTGTATGGTGGAGTTGGTGTAGTAGTAGAAAAAGAAAGATATCACAAGCTTGTGGGCAAATTGATATATCTCTCACAAGCTCGGCCAGATATTGCTTAGGCAGTAAGCATTGTTAGTCAATTCATGCATGATCCTAGAACTCCCTATCCTGAAATTATTTATCGTATTTTGAGATATCTCAATTCAACTCCACGAAAAGGGTTCTTATTCTCCAATAATGGTCACTTGAAACTAGAAGCATTTAGTGATGTAGACTGGGCAGGTTCAGTAGGCGGTCTACTTCAGGCTATTGTACCATATGATCGAAAAAAATCTTATTATATAGCGAAAAAGAAGCAAGAGTAACAACAAAGTCTAGTGTAGAAGTTGTATACAAAACAATGGCCCATGGAGTTTGTGAACTTATGTGACTCCAAAAATTATTGGGAGAGCTGAGAATTCATGATAATAGACGTATGAGACTATACTATGACAATAAGACTGCTATCAATATTATTCATAATCCAGTTCAACATGATAAAGCTAAACATATTGAAATTGATTGACACTCTTCATTAAAGAAAAGTTAAACAAGGGTTTGATTTGCACAATGTTACCTAGAATATGGGTCGTTTTGGTACGTGATATAAGTACGGGTACGAGGTATGACACTTTTTAAGGTACACGATATGATAAATGTAGATTTGTCTGATGCGGTATTTTGGATTACAATTCATTTTGGAACTATTATCTAAATCGTTTTCACCACTATACAATATTATATATCATATAACATCTATAAACACAAATTTAGTTACCATTTATCTTATATTTGTGCTTAATTTTATATTATTATTACCTGAAATAATATAAAATTATAAATCTATATACACGTACTTAATTAATATATATTTTATATTTGTGCTACATATACAATTTGAAATCATACATTTTAGTAATCTGGACGGTGAATCTACCCCGTTAGGAATAGATTTACCTAGATCGTGAGTCAACAGGAGTTTATTAATTTTGGTAACTATGATTGCATGCCTTTTATAAAATCAGAAAATCAGTTACCTGATGTTATCATAGAGGGCCTTAGTAGTAAGGTTTTTCATTCCATTGTTTATAAGTTGGGCATGAAGCATATTTATGCACCAACTTGAGGAGAAGTGTTATGTTATGTGTTATTTCAAGACTGAGGATAGTTTCGTACTTTGTGATTATGTATAAAAGCTAACCTAACACACTATTATATTCTCATATTTCTCTTTTTCTTCTCTTCTCCAAAACCCTAACTCATTTCAAGTACTAAAAGAAGAGAGACCAACAACCATGAAAACAAGGAAGTACTACAATGGAGTTATAATACATATCTTTTATGATGCACACTGTCAACACAGAGCAACTTGACATAATCATGAAAGATTCCAAGAAGATGTTCTAAGTCAAGAGTGGCGGCAAATACCAAGGCAATATCATAACCCACAAACTATCATTATATGTCCCTGTTATATTAGCATCAATTCCTCTATGATCTATTTTACTCTCCTTCCCAACAATGACAGAGTCTGATTAGACTATAATAATCTGTATGGTAAGATGGACAAAAAATAGAAATGGTGAAAAGTACAAACGATAGACTTTCCATCCTTCGAGGAAGAAAAACCACTTTCTCCCCTTTTTGTTCGGTACGATAGATGAAAAGTTGAATGAATGAACTTTTCATTATTTGGTATCAGAGGAAAAATGAAAGGAAAGGAAACACATGCAAATTTAATTTATCATTATACTCTCACTAATAAAAAATAATATTTTTATCAGTAGACTTTTCAAGATTTAAAAATATTAAAAATCCCTCCAATTTGCTATAAAATTAATAAATATTTACAAATATATATATAATTTTTTGTCCACTTTCTTGTGGAATCAACTAAATACATGGGTTAAAATATAATGTTTGTTTTTTTTGATAAATTTATTGAAATTAATTAGTAAGATATACTAAAAAACATTTTAATATATAAGAGTGATAATTATCGATATGATATGATAAGATGATACGAAATCGACACGTACGTTCTTGCTTCACAGGTAACACAGATATACCTAAATACGACAAAGTAAAAAATTGATCAATTTAACGTCAATACATGTTACACAATTTGCTAAATTGAGCATGTCGTAGTTAATTAGTTGGATCGTTGAATCGTATTATGTCAAATTTATTCAACTTTTAACCATAATAAGATTATGATTTTATCCAATTCGTGCAATGTACATACAACTTTTATTCTTTTTTTATCACTATTTTGGCTATGTCATGAGAGAAGAGATACAAATGGGACTTGACAAACAGTACTTATCTTGTTCCTTCTTTCCCCTCTACCCACCACAATTTGGGCAAAAAATGGAAGGAAAAGAATGAAGATTGAACAAGACATGCTGAGTTTACCTTTTTATCCTTTATTAATTTCTCATCCCACCCAACTTTCCTTTCCATCCTATTTTCTCTCCCAACCAAACGGTTGATAAAAAGCTCTATAGTTTCCAGAGGAAAAATGATGCAAGACTGCCAGCATTCTCTACCTAAATGAGCATGGGACCTACGATGAAAGTAGAACTGCACCATTTTGTTTTATTGGCTCTTAAAGGCACATATATGGACATGCATGTGAGCGCGCGCGCACACTCACACAGAGGGACTGATCTTAATCAGCAAGTTTATTAAAATGAAAAAGTCACTTCAATGATCAATCAATGCCAAAAGCGGTTGGGAGGGACTACAAGCAGAGCACATGTCCAAATGATATACACGGCATCAAATGAAACCTAGGTTATGCAGCCACAGCCCTATTGTGAGATATATTACTCAGTAGAGCAATCAAATCTTGAGCCCCATTCAATGGGTCTCTTCTGTAATCACATGGACAAAACTCTACCAAGACTAGATGTCTAACTTGTATCATGATAAACCAATGTTATCTGAATAAGGGGTCGCTTTGGCATGTGATACAAGTACGCTTTACGACACTTGCTTAAGTACATGGTACGATAGAGATAAAAACTTATTTGATACGATATTTTGAGTCGCAATTCGTTTTGAAAATCTTATTTAGATCGTTGTCACTTCTATATAACATTATATATCATATAGAACATCTAGAAACACTAAATCAGTTACTATCTATATAATAAAACGGACTCATCTTGAATCTTCAAGTTAGCCCATCACAAGAGTGACTGAGATTCATTCAATCAAATTTCTCAAAATCATCCCCAAAAAATACCCCCCCACCCCAAAAAAAAAAAAAAAACCTTGAAAACCCCACTCAACCCATACTTTTTCATGCTAACCAAGGGCAAACCAAGTATTCTCTCTCTTATCTCTTTCTTCTATTTAGCCTTTCAAATTTTATCGCCCACCTATTTTTTTCGCCTTATTCTATATTACAAGTTGATTCATGTAATTGTTTTTATTAATTTGTAGCTTAATATAATTTTTATTTGAAGCATTGTTTATATATGATAATATACACATATTGATTTGTTTTTAGATCATATATTTTGAGAAAATTTTGCCATTTTTTTTAAAATAAGGGGTAAAAATTAATTTCAAATCATGTAATTAAATAAAGGGAAGGAAAAATTTTATTATTTGATACAATGGGATCAATTTTTTGAGTGCTCAAATTTTACGTTGCACCATACCTTCAGACACAGATTATGTCTAGTTTATCTTACATTTGTGCTCAATTTTCCATTATCTAAAACAATATATAATTATAAATCTGTATACACGTAGTTAATTAATATATATTTTATATTTATGATGTGTACAATTTGGAATCGTAAATTTTGGTGATCTAGATCGTGAAGTTACCCTATTTGGGATTGATGTACCAAAATCGGGGGTCGCCAAGGTTTAGTGAATTCTAATAACTATGTGATAGACACTAAATTATAGAAGTATCAACTACTTAATACAAAGTCATTCGATTGATAGGGTTAGATTAGAGCTTTTCCACTAAATAAATCAAATTCACGAACTGGGAGGGCAACCTATGTTTGTACGTTAGGAAGCCAAGAGCCATTTTTATTCAGCGAAAGACAAGCCACAAAAGAACCTTACTTACAAATCTAGAATTTGAAACTCATAAAGAAACCACACAATACACAAGTCTTTCAATTGTTGATAACAACCCAACTTATAGATGAAGGAAAATAGAAAAATGAATGATCCTACATCTCAGTACTGGAAAAGCTACGTTTAAGGTGGGCGATAACTGAAAATAAAACAAGCTACCATTGCAAAATTACTCAATTATGATGTAAGTGTATGAATAAACAATAAATTGTACCTGTATTTGTGACTGTCTCGTTTTCTATCCCTCTCTCTTTCCCTTGTGGGGCTTCTCTCACGATAATAATCCTTCATAGGCAAAAACATTACCATAAACAAATTAGAAAGCAACTCAAAATAGATAAAATTGGCTATCCATAGAACAAGTAGCAGAAGAAATGAACCTTTTCATGACCCCCATCTTCTAATCCAGCCATTTGGTCATCCTCTTCTTTTTCTTCCTCCTCCTCAAAATCATCTTCTAGTGCACTTAATCTTGGTTCCAGTGAACCAATAGCTTCAAGAGTCCATCTGGAAACATGTAATATTTAAGCATAAGGAACTACACAGAAATTTAACAACTACACAGAAATTTATCAAGCAGTGAAAAAAATCAAGTATGAATAAAAATCATGGAAGACATACTTGCCAACTGAAAAGGAAAATGAGAGAGAATCCACCAAACAATTAGTAGGACTATTGTGAATGAGCAGACAAATTCAAACCGAGTGGATCAACTTTTACAAAACCCGGGGCTCCTTCATAAGCAAGTGTATTTTGGCCCAATATCAAAGCTAGGGCCAAGTCCAGATGCAAAAAGGATCAAGATAGGAGTTCTAGATCCGATTAGCTGATTAGGATCCAAATCCTCTTATTTAGCACGCTAGAAATGGATAGGGTCGTTCCGATACGATAAGAAGATGATCCCAATTTGTTTTAAAAAAATATGTAATAATTATTAATTAATACAACATATAACAACAAGTGCAATGGATATAGTATATAGCATAAAGTTATAGTTATCAGAATTTACTAAACCCCTAACGACCCACGATCTGGTATATCGATCCTAACCTATGTGGGTTCACAATTCAGATCACCAAAATATACAACCCCAAATTCTAATATTAACCCTAAATCCATTCACTTCAAAACATGTAGCACAAATATAAAATATATATTAATTGACTGTGTATATATATTTATAATTATATTGTTAGACAATCGAACATAAATGTAAGATAAATGTTAACTTGTGTCTGGATGTTTTATGATATATAATAGGGTCGTTTGGATGTTTTTTATTAAGCAAATAGGGACGGTGCTAGGGCATACAAGACAATCCTGGATAAAATCTAAGACTAAACAAGAGAAAAAAAAATATTAATTCTAGTCAAGCATTTCTTAAGTAGGTAAATAAAAGTTGGATAATAAGTATCAAGTCCAATATAATGTTTGGTTAGATCATTTATTCAATGGTATTAAATGGGTGGACTAAAATGCCCTAAATCACCTCCAATTTAATCTCTTATAGTGATCCAATATTTCATAGGATTATATCAATAGAACCAAAAGTTATGTAAATATTACTTATTATGAATATTTTACATAATATTATAATCAAACAAGCATGCTTTAATTGTGTAAAAATGTATTTTGGATATATGTATTTGTTTATTATTAATGTCGTTGTTTATCATTATCCATGTGAACTACAAATGAGGTGCATCTTTTATAGGATATTCGTATGAAGGGAACGTCGGGTCATTGTAAAAAAATTAAGGGTCTATTTGTTATGAAGTCAGGATATCTACGTATTTTTTATTAAAATAAATAAGGAATGATCACATGAATTTTTTTTAAATTAAGGGTAAAATTGTAAAATAACGATACAATACATATAGGTTGTATTATAATACCACCTCTCTTGGTGGTATTAAAATAGTTCAATACGGTGTTATTTAAGGCGTAAAGAGAACTGAAGCGATCAAAGCTCCTAACGCCTAGGCGAGAAGCAAGAAACGAAGCGACACGCTTTACTGAAGCGAAGCGACACGCTTTACCGAAGCGAAGCGAACAATTAAAAATAAATAAATATTTTAGTTTAATTACTTCTAAACAATCTAAATTCTAATTTTATATATACTAAATATTTAAACGCAAGTAAAACCATAAACATTTAAATTAAAATAAAGACTAATATCTCAAATCTTAATAACAGTCATAGCTTAAACAAATGTACTGAATCACATTTCAGGACAACAAAATAGAACAACAAAACAGCAGCACAACACTATCAGATTCAGAACAGAAAACAGAAGCCGGACAGCAGCACAATCAGAAAAAATAAAAAAAAGGAGTAAATTCAGCACAATCAAAAGCACAATTAAAAAAAAAAAAGAGCAGAATCAGAATCAAAAAAAAGAAAGCAGCAGAATCAGGAAAAAAAATGGAAGTAGAAAAAAAAAACTAGAAGAGAGAAGAAGAACCAAAACCAAAAGAGAAATAAAAGAGAGAAGAAAAAAAAGAGTCAAGAGACTAACCTGTGCAGCGAGGAAGGAAGCGAGATCAACCAGCGATCGTCTCTGTCCAGTCCAGCCAGTGTGTTGACTCTGTCGATCGTGTAGGAGCAGCACAATCGATCGTGTAGGAGCAGCGATCGATCTTGTTCTATTCTGTGTCTAGCTCTGTTCTGAGTCCAGCGAAGAAACGAGTGTCCAGCGAAGAAATCTGAGAGAAATTAGGGTTTTGAATTGTATTTATGGGATAGGGGAATAATTCGGTGTATCAACATCTTTTAATTTTTTTTCCAATTGCTCAATCCAACAGTCCATAATAAAAATAAAACAACATCATCTCTAATGACTAAGGCGTTCGCTTTTTCGCTTTTTTCTCGCTTTAGTCACACTCGCTTCGCCTGGGGTGTTCCAAGTGAGATGTCTTCGCCTCGCTTCTCACCTAGGCGAGCGCCTAAGCGCGCTTTTCAAAACACTGGTTCAATAGTATGGATAGATTGTATTAAAATTATCCATATGTGATACTTATCTAGTTAATCTCATATATAATACCAAGTATTTTTTGCATCCAAAATTCCAAATGTAATATAAACCCGTATTAAAACGTTTTAATCCAATATGGCACTTTAATACACCCTATAATACAACAACCAAACGACCCCAATGTGTATAGTAATGAAAACGATCTAGATAAGACTTCCAAAACAAATTACAACCCAAAATACCATACCAGCTAAGCCTACTCCCATCGAATTGCATGCCTAAGAAAGTAACGTACCACAAACTTGTACCTGCACCCTGTACCAAACCAACCCACAATCCAGGCAACATTTGTATAGAAAACACGAATAATATATATTACTATGTATCAATTTTATTAGATTGGATCGGATATCCAATTAAAAACAACTCTAGATTTGGATATATTCCCAGTAGTTCCTAACTTACTATAGATCTACCAATATCTTAACAAACACTATTCATCTCAACAATTTTTTCTCTCAAGATCTTCTGCTACCAATTCATCATAAACATCACACGCTCATGCTACACAAGAATACCATCCATGCACAACGCATGTCGAGGGAAGAAACATGACAATAACAATTTGGGAGGCCTGGTGGAGCATAATGAACTTTGAAACAAACTAATCAATTATCAAAAGAGAGCCTTGAGTTCTGGCATATAACAGCATTGACCACCAAAAAATAAAAAGAAAAATTCAATGCCCTTTTTGCAAGTCTAGCCAAAGTTCTCATGTATAGCTTGCTAAATTTGGAGCAGCACAAAATCGCATCCACAATATGCACTCGTGGCCATAGTCGAACAGCCAAATATATGGTTCATACCAGCACTCTAATGAGGGAAAGCAGAAAATCTAACAATGAACAAATTTCACCAAAGATAAGGTTTTTACTAAAACAAAAGTAATGACTGTATATCAATATAAGATTATACAGATTCAAGAGAGAACATTATAGACAAATCATACAAAGGAAAATTCTAGCAATCTAGATTACAAAAAGCAAGAGGCTTACAAATACCTTTTCTTGATACGTGGCAAAGCAATATCACAGGAATAATCTTTTGTCAGAAGTTCATCAATAACCTCATCCACATGTGCTAAAGTGAATTCTGAAACAATAAGCAGCAAGATTGTAACAACGATCAAAAGGCAAAAGAGTTGGTTCAAAACTGGAACAGATTTCAAAAAGATCATTCCAAAAGGTCAAAAATCTTACGGCCATCAGTTGATTTGCGCCTTAATTTTCGATAGTCATTGTATAAAGGCTCCAAGTAACGGTACACATCACTATCTATCCCTGTAAGACGCAAATAAAAAGCGCCAAGCACACGAACATATCTGCTCAGAAAATACAGATGTTAAGATTAATTTGAGAAATGAAAGCAAAGATGGCTTAACACCAATGCAAAATATCACCAACAAACATGAATAACCACCGGCAAAATGGAAAAATCATAACATTAAATACCAAATAAGGATGTAAAATCAAGTTTAAAAATTTGTCATCATAAAAAACACATTAAGACTTTGGATATCAAATTTTATGTTCTTTACATGAGAATAACTTCAGAAAACTTTCACGGCCAAAAATATAGTATACTGTATATCTATGAATCAAAGGCTGGCAATAGACAACCTAAAAACATTAGGTACAAACAAGTTTATCTACAAGCTCATAAATCATTACAGCAATTTCCTGAGCTTTAAACATAGGTATGCTACAAGAATATGATTCCATTTGCAACTTTCTTTTCTCTATTAATGTTGTTGATGTGATGTGGTTTCGTGGGGCGTGGGGGGGGGGGGGGGAAGGCAACATACATATTTATGGAATTTTTACAGTGGCTTTTTAAAATAAGTTCACTAAGGTCACTGTGTTTTCAATAGTATGGGAGATTTGATTGTGTCAAAGAGTCGGGTTGAAGCCCTCATATGTTATTACAATGAATTAAAAGGCCACATTGTAATGTTGATAGATTTTTAGGGTTTTGAGATGCTATAAAAGAGCCTCAAACCTGCCACACGACAAGCAGCCTCCAAAATCTAAATTTTCAGGTTATTTCAACAAAAAAATTCTCTCTCTCTCTCTCTCTCTCCATCCTTATTCTTCTTCATCTTGCTCTGAATCTTCTTACTTTTGGTTCCCTATTCTTTATTCGATATTTTATCTATTATCACAATCTATCTTTCATCTCTTCTGCCCCAATTGTTTCTACCATTTCTTCCCCTTTAGGGTTGTCTCTCATATCCTTAAGACTTTTTCCTGTTATTTCCTTCTTTTTCGGAGTTTTTGTACCTATCCCGTTACTCCATATCGTTTTCTCCTCTCTGACAATCTTTTCCTTATGTTATCTATCAAGACAGAAAAAAGAAAAACCATAATTCAAGCCAGGTTCTTGTATTTCTGTACCCATCCCGCAAAGTTATCAGCATAACCTAGGCCAACAAGTGTGACAATAAAAATTCAATCCAGGTTACATCAGTTATCTTTCTTCTGCATGTAACAAATCAAAACTTAACATCATAAGTCTCTACTTCAACTGACTCTAGCTCCTTTGATTCAATATTGGACTTATATGCATCCAATCAAATGAGAGGAGATAAATTCAAACTGTTGGCATATATCATAGACAACGCCTTAAATCATTAGGCAGGGAAACAATTAAGGAAAAAAAAAAATTCTACAAATGTGAATATATGGCTTCACAAACCTATTTCATATTAAGAAGGAAACATTAACCAATATGTACAAGTTATATTACGCACTGCATTAGTCTCGAGAATAAATTATTTCAGAAATTTAAAAAAAATTAAGTTCCTAGTTTTTGGTCTTGAATCTTGAGAGTCACCTACGAAAATGATACATTGCACATTAATCAGTTACCCTCGTCAATCCAAGGGCAACTTCATTTTTTGGCTTTTTTCTTTTTTTCCTTCTTTTTAGGGAGGGCTGCTATTTCAAACCCCAAGTCAGTAGAAAGGGAAGGATAACTTACAAAACGAAATATTTTCCGAAAAACTTACAAAAAGAAATGCACATATCTCTACTCCATTTTACAAAAAAAATAACAATTTCGGCCAGATTGAAGTGCCAATTTCTCTGAGCGTCATACACACAAACCCAACTTGACCTTCTATACATGCAAAACAGTATTTTCTAGAGATTGACATGTAATGAACAAGAAAATTTATTATAATCAACTAAACATCTGCACAAACACCTGTAAATAGAAGAGAAAACAAATATTTCTTGAAAGCATCGACATTTAACATAGACTTACTTGTAGTCTTCGTTCTTGATGAACTCGACAACGATGTCCTTCTCGGGCTGGATCTGGAGCATCTTCATGACCAGACACATGAACGGCGTGGGCTTCCGATTCCCGCCGAAGGTCCCACCCAAGTGGTCCAGCTCCATGGCTTTGTCGACCAGCGTCTCGGCAGTGAGACCGAAGCACTGCTCCTTCCAGTATGTGTGCTGGTAAATCTTGGATCTCAGAATCTTCTCCACCAGATTCTGTGGGTTCGTCCCCCTTATGCTCTTCGCCGCTGGGTCCGTACGGTTAGCCATCGGTAACCGTCTGTGAAACTCTAGATATATGTATACGTATGTATATAATGGAAGCAAATTTCAGAAACCCTAAGCCTACCACGGGGAAAGAGAAAGAGGCTTTGAGCAAGAGCCCAATTGCTCACGGAAGGCTCAGGAACTTGCAGTAAGATTTAAACGGTTCTGTCATGCTGGGAAAACTTCTTCTGCAGTCCTGTAGTTAGGGCTATTTTGCAATGACATGATAAAAAAAAATATATGGATGAAAAATTGAATGAGTAAATAAAATATTACATTTTATAAGAAAAAAAATAAAAAAAATGGATAAATTAATTTTTTTTCTAACTCATCAAAATCAATCTCTCTAAAATTGAAAGGAAAATGAGTGGAAAGTTAATTATTTATATTAAATGTATCATATTTGTCTACTAGGTATTCTTCGTGCTAAAAAGCATGGAGTAATAAAAAAATAATTATTAATAAACATATTTGTATTTGCACCTAAAATCAAATCACAAATATAAAAAAGAGATAAATAAATTTAAGTATCGATTATAATGGGGGTGAGCGGGATTAGTGGTGGTGGGCGGTAGTGATGATGGTGGGAGACGGTGATAGTTATGGTAGGTGGCGACAACCGTGGTGGTGGTGACAACTGTGGGTGACAACAATGATGGTGGTTAGCAGTGGTGGTGATAGGATGATGACAGTGGTGGTAGGCGGTGACGGTGGTGGTGCTAAGCGACGATAGATGTTTCTAGGCAACAGTGTGATGGGTGATGGCAAATGACGGCGATGGTAAGTATGGTGAGAATAGATGACAGTGGTTGCCTGCAGTGGTGAACGATGACGGTCGGTGGTGGTAGATGTGGTGGGTGGTGGGTGATAGTGGTTAGTGGAGATGGTGGACGACGACAGGTGGTGGTGGGTTGTGATAGTGAGTGACGGGAGGCAACAATGGTACTAGTGGGTGATGACGGTGGAAACGGTGGTAGTCGAATAATTGTGGTAATGGTAATAAATATATGAATAAGATAATGATGATGGCGGATGGTGGTGGTAGTAGGGTGGCGGTGATGGGTTGGCAATGATGGTGGTATTTTGTGATGGTTGTGGGGGTGATGGAGGGGGACAATGGGGGTGGTGGTAAGGTACGATAACGATGATGATGATGGTAGGATGTGGTAGCGATGATGGTGGTAATGAGGATTGTTGTAAGACCCTGTACTAAAATTAAATAAGAATACTAATATCTTAAGAGTTTTCCAAATATGAATAAAATGAGGATAAAAACTTAGAATCATTGTTGAAATATTAATCATGAAGTTTGAGTTTCGAACGGATTGACTTTTGGGTCAAACTTAATTTTTTTTTTTTTTGATGTGTTTAAGATTGATAAGGGTAACTAAATAAATATATTAAATTTTTTTTTATCAAAATAACATTACCATTGAATTCGGGAGGTCGGAAAACATTGGGAGAGGTAATATGAGATGTATTAGAAGTTAGGAAGTATTTTAGAAGTAAAACCAAATTAGAGTGAAAATGGGTAAAAAGGGGTGATAGACACTGCTTAGTATTTTGATCATAACTTTATATTTTGATGTCCAATTGATCTGAAAATTTGACAGGAAATAGTAGACATCTAAGGCTACAAAAGTGTATTTCATGAAAAATTTCCAATTCGACCTCTAAATGGGTCAAAACTGACCTGGAAGTCGCACCAAAAATCTGTGAACAGTACGAAGGAAACCCGATTTTTTCTGAACAGAAAATATCGGGTTTTGCTCGATTTTCCTGCCCTATAAAAACCTAATGTCGTCCCTTTAGCATTCATTTCACCCCTCCAAACCCTAGGAACCATTTTAGAGGAAGATAGAAATACCAATCAAGAGGGATTTACACCTTGTAGAAATCAAAACTTCAAATTCTTCAAGAATACATTCTCCTCCCATTTTCTTCCATTCTTGCTACCCTCTCACCCAAATCTTTTGAAACCCTAGGAGGAGAAGATTAAGAGGAAAAGAAAGGAGAGCAAGAAGGTCTTGAAGCTTGGGTCTTAGCTTGGAATCTTGATTTAAGGTAGGGGATTTTCTCTCAATCTCTCACATTGAGACTAGATATATATATATAGATATATATATATATAGATATATATATGTATATAGATATATGTTTCTTCACTCTCCTTCTCATATATATAATATGAAATACATGATTCTTGTTCTATTTGTAATAAATGTCATGTTTTGAACAATATGAAGGGTGGGTAACCACCAAAGCTCTATTGATTTTTTTTTTTATCTTCAAAGCCCTAGTTTTCAAGAAAAGGGGATTTTCTCCTAATTTCTTCTTTGTCTTTGATTTTAAAACTTTAGTGTTGAATATTGTATAACAAAATGATATAGATTACGATGTCTTGCATATTTTCTTGGATTATTCGATTATATGACAAATGTGAAAATAAAATTGGGGATTTCACTATATTTGGGAAATTGTTGTGAATTGTGAATATTCTTAATTTCCTCTTTGTATGGTTGTTGTGATGGACTTGGATTACCTTCGAGAGATACCGTAGAGTGTTAGAGGTTAGTCTATCCCAATGGGGGGTGAGATAGTTGCCTAATGCTCGTAGTGGATCGTTGTTGTGCTCGCGATCACTATTGTTCACATATACACCGAGGAAAAGGGTTAGTATACTAGACACCTTGGGAGGATTTCGTCAATGCCGTAGGAGACGGTACACGCCCTTCCTAAAGAGATTTGTGATTGTTGGTTGAAATTGGTGGACTAGGCATGATCGTTAGGTAGATTCACGAGAAGCAATCAACACACATGGTATGGGGATGAACCAAAAATATATGGAATCGGGAGTTGAGTCGTTCTTGCCGATGCATTGGTATGGGACAATGCTTAGGGAGAAGCCCTTCTTAAATAGCTTAAATTAGAATTTTGTTTATCGATGCTAAACTCACTTTATTCTTTTAACTGATTATTGCTATTGTTTAAACTTGAGATCTCTTTTAAAATGTCACTGTTTTCATTCCAAACCTATATATATGTTAGTTGTGAAATGAGACCGACCGTTTGCTATGTTTTTCAAACCTTGTTTGAGTTGAGAGGATTTTGCTACAGAGCTTCGTGCTCACCCCCTACAAATAAAATTTTTTCAGATTTCACACTTGAGGAGGAGTTAGGAGCCGAGGATCCCACCCATTGGAAGACTCCGCTTGACGGGAATGTGGATCCCGAGCTGGACGCTTAGAGCGACACTTTTATTTTGTTCTAGACTAGATTATGCTTAGAATATCCTTTTGAACTCTAGTTCATTTCTGTTATTTCCGCTGCGTTATATTATTACATTTTGGAGATGTAAATGTCAAGATTAGACCTATTAATATGGGATGATAGTGTGGATATGACATATGATGAATGCAAGTTTATTTTATGATAGAAAAATGGACCCGGTGTGGTCAATAGTTATGCATATGTGGATCCGGTGTGGTCAATTGTAATATAATTGTACAGGTTGTATTTTGGGTAGAGCTCCCCGTACAAAGGAGACTCTGCCCAAAATTTGTTAAAATATGAATGGTTGATGATTGAAACTTTCGTCGTGATGAATTTTACTTAATGCTCTCATACGGTAAATGATTTTTAGAATGTAATGTCACTCACGGGGGTTTTTGGGGCGTTACAATTGTGGTGATGGTGGTGGTGGTGGTGGGGCAAAGGTGGTAGTGGTGATGGTGGTGGTACTATTGAGAAATAATTCCTAAAAACACTTTAAAAAAAGTCACTCCAAATAAACCTTACAGACCTATTTTTTTATTAAATTTGGAGTTTTAATATTAGCTATCAGATTAACTTTAAAGTAAAATTTAAAAAAATCTCAACCGCGAATAACAAAATTCATTTTATTTATCTTTTAAAATTTGAACTTAATTGTACTTTATTATATAGAAGATATATTTTTTGATATATACATATATTATGTATAGATTCATTTTATATAAAAATACAATGATAATATATATATATATATAGGGGTGAAAATATTTAAAATAAAAATTTTAAATTAAAAAAAATATTTTTCCATCTTAAATAGGGGTGAAAATTTTTGATTCAACACGATGACACGAACTTGAAAATGACCTGACACGCGAATAAGAAATATAAAAGACTCATATTCAATTCAACCAGTCAAACTCAAAATTGATACCATCAACCCGTTTAGTTAAAAATAAACATTTTCTCTATTTTTCTCGTTTGTATGGTAATACGAAATTAACATATTTAACTAATATTATAGACATAAAATGTTAATTATTTGTAACTATTTATTAAGCACCGACATAATTATTAAATAAAAAAATTGTTTTACTTATTATTATTATATTTATTTAAGTTAATTTTTAGTTTGTAGAAAAAATATTAACATGTATTCAATTAAGTGAAAATAGAATATTAGCCTTAAATTTTTTATTCAAAGTTTATGTGGCTTAACACGAACACAACATGAAAATAAATAGGTTAACTCTCAACTCCACACAACACAATTAGTTAAATGAGTTGAGTCAGGTTTGACTAATATTTGACATAAACCCGTAATGACTCAATACGAATTTGACACGACACGACTTGATTATCACCTCTAATTTTAGCTAGCACAAAAAAAAAATTAGTCATTTTTATTTTCCATCCATCCAACCAAACACAAAAGGAAGTAAAAGTGTGTATCCCTACTACTTTCTATCTTACCAAACGGAGCATAACACCCTTTGTATTACTTGAAATTTCAGTGATACTCCTTGTCAGAAATTGCCTCGTGCTAACTGATGTCAGAGATTGTTTGCTTTGGACGTTAACAGATAACATTATTTTACAAAATATCCTTAAGTATTTTATATGCATTAAATATGGTATTTTTTGAATACATTACAAAATCCTAAATTAATTAGAATTAAGTTAGTTAACCAAACATATGTAATAAAACTGACTCAACCTTAGTTTGTTGAACATTCCCATTCTCGTTCTCATTGACACTCAGAGGTTCTCACAGAGAGGAAAAGGGAGTGGAAAAAAGAGAAGGGGAGGGAGTGGGGGGATAAAAATGTGGGTTTGAATGTTTCAAAGTAATAGAGGAAGGTATGTGCATTGAAGACAGAAGATATGTGCATCGAAAACATTGAAGAAGTATTGTGAATCAAAGACCCA